GAGTGTCAGTAAGCAGGTTTAGATCGACTGATTGCCTGACTTACGGTGTGTCGTGATATTGTGCACAGTAAAAGCGTGTTAGTGATATATATATTAAATTATTATGTGATAAATTTGAGACTGATTGGCGTAACTTTCGCTTTGTTCTGCACAGACCTGGACAGCATGTTTCTGAATCTTTTTCCCGATCCTTCTACTCTTTTCCATACTTCTTCTCATATTTCTGTATATCTTCCTGCTTCTGTTGCTGCCGCTAATGCCATCTGGCATTCGAGATCACATATACTTTTATCATGACTATATCCTCCCTGGTTTTTTCGTCATGGAAATTCTTTTTGGCAAATGTCACACTTTGTTACTTTTTGTCGCTTCCATTCTTCCGGGACCTCTTCTCCCTTTTCTTCATTTTCTCCGTCCTCACACTTTGGCACTGTGATTTTCCACATAATCGAAAAGTCAGTCTTTCTTCTCTTGCCGTTGTTTTACAAACACAACAGTGTTGTCGCTGAGTTCTTGTATTTCCTCCGAAGTGCGTATCTATCCTGTTTGGATAGCATCTACTTTTGAATCTTCTGTTGTTTTTTGCCCCTTCAACATGTACTAATCTTTCTATTTCCCATTTATTTATTTCGTACATGTTTCTTTTTTGTTTTCGCATACTTCACATATATACGTTATCCTTGGTTCTTCTCCTTCTCGCTTGCAATTTCTTAATTCTTGTATTGTCATTAGCCCTTTACATTCACAACAGTGAAATTCTTTATTTCCTTTTTCTCCTAGTATCTTTACTAGGTAGATTTCATTAAATATCCTTTTCAAGTCCCTTGCTTTTTTTCCTCTGCAACAAATCATTGATTTGTTTCCCTGTTCACTAGAGGTCATATCTTGCCATTCTCCATTTGGTATTCCTTGAAATCTCCTGCTTGTGTATATTCTTCCGTAGTTATTTCTTCGGAAATCCATTTTAACTCTTGCTTTGTCAGTTCTTGGTAGTACTCGTAATAATTGTTTAACCCGTTCTTCTTTCTTTATATTCTGTAGAATTTGTATTTCAGCAGTCAAATATTGTTTCGTTTGTGTTATACTATCAAAGGTTGCCCTTTGTTCCACTCCTTCTTCCAATAAAGGTATAATTGATATTTCTTTTATTGGTTCCTGTTTTACTTCTTCCGATTGTCTTTCGATCCGTTTCTTGATTCTTTATCTTCTACTTCCCAGTTTCTTTTCGGAGAGTAGGGTCGGTGTCCTGATCTTTCTCTTGGTGGAGTTCTTCGAGGGTTGCTTTTGCAAATCCTAGAGTTATGTTTGCTTTTCCCGCAGATTTTATAGTTTGGTTCGTAACTGTTTTTTCTTTCTTTTTCCATTCACCCGTTTCTACTTTTCAAATAAAGATTAAATAATGTAACCAATTGTTTATTAATTTGAGTTGAATTTGCATGAAGGAAAGTAATTTTCAAGATCAACTAGTTAAAAAGAAGTTTACATGTTTCTTTAATAAAAAAACTTTTTTTTTAAATAGTAAAAAATATTCGAAAATGGGATGTATTACAAGATTTTTCATACCCGATATGGATTCATGTGCCCGATATAGGTTTTTTATTATGTATATATGAAAGTGATCTGTGAGACAAATCTGTCCCGCAAAGCATGCACTCACTCTATTATTTTTTACTATTTATCTCGTAATTGTATTTATCATGTATTTAATTTATTTGATTGGTATTTTAATAAAGGTAGCTCTAGTGGTTGATTTAACATAAAAATCGTGTTTAGTTTGCATGTGTATTTCGCCGTTATATACGATGTATTAAATAAATCTATACCAAATAAAACAAAAGTTATTATCAATAATGCAATCCGAATTAAATTTATTAGAAGAGAAAGCTAAGAAAGTCAGATACTGAACTTGAGGCGGAGAAAGCTGAGCTTATGGTTGAGAAAGCTGAGCTTGAGGCTGAGAATGCAGATATTAAGGCTGAGAATATTGGATGAGAATGTCAAACTTTTAAAACGAATTATAGAAGAATATGCTAAAAATGAGGCTGATATAGCTAAATTAAAAACAGGTTTGCAATATCCAATCCTTTTTGAACATATTAAAACTACAATTCTTGAGCTTGAGACAAGGAATACAAAATTAAAACCAATTATAGAGGAATTTGCAAAGAAATCATAATCTAGCCACCTTGTGATTGACAAGAAAAATCGCAAATTTCAGACTAAATGCATTCAAATCGCCGAGGAAATTCTTAATGAGGAACCGATAATTAATTATCACTCTCCCTTCTTGAATGGATTAGAACTTGATGCCTTCTTTCAAAAATACCAAATTGCATTAGAGGTACAAGGGGGTCAGCATCGGTTTCATAATACTAGTTGGTATAAAGATATCAAAAAACCTGAAGATGCAAATCGTGATCGGAAAAAAAATGCGTATGTCAAGATAATGGAATTTTTCTTCTAGAAGTGTGGTACGATGAAAAACCAGAAATAGTTATTCCCAAAAGAATACAAAAAATTGAGATTCGTTAATCAAGCGTTTAAAATTTTGGCCTATAATCAATACATAATATATAAAACTTTATATCTAAATTGCAGGCAATTGTTTAATATATAACTCATAATTTTTTTGTCTACTTCATTTATTAGCATCTGTTAACTTTAATATACGATTTAAAAACACATAGGCTCAAAGTCTCAATTTTTCTTGCAGAGTATCTGAATTTCGATTTTTTTGTTCATCAATATGATTTTGATCGTATTTTGTCATGGATTTTGCATCACATAATGATGAGAAAATGTCCTTGTCTTTTCAGATTCTATCAAAAAAGCTAAAATAAATCTAGATCCTAAGAAGCACATCCTCCCCATTTGAGTAATCATTGTTGGTAGATGAAGTTCAAATCTGTGATTTCAGCCTTGAGCTCGGTATTTTATGCTTCGTAGTTTACAATTCCAACCTCAAGTTCACTTTTTTCTTTCGCAATCTGTTCCAATTCTGCAATCTTGGCCATAAGTTTAACATCCTCGTTTCAATAAACCAATTTTGGATTGCATGTTTAACGATAACTTTTATATATGATACGAATTGTTCAAAAGGTTTATTAGCGCAGATAGTAACGATCAAATAATTTTGTCAATTATGACAGAATGATTTAATTATGAGTTAACTAAATTGTTCATCAATTCAATAATATTATTTTCTCGTGAAATTGCTTTCCATCTGTTTCGGTGGTGTATAACTACCGGGTGGTGGTCGACTTTCATATTCGTTTGCAATTTCGCAAACAAATTGCTGTAAATGAAAGAATATTTATATAAAAACTTTATCATGTAGTATTTGACAAAAAAAAAAATGGAATACTACCTACTACAAAATGTTAGTAAGTTAATGCAATTAACGGAAATGATCCCTTATCCGTCGCTATTCTATTTTTTAAGAAATGGCCACGATTGATAGATTCCATCATATTCCAAATCGATGAAAAATGACTCAATAGTATCAGCTAAATTGATTAATAAATAAATTTTATAAATTTCATACTACGAAAATAACAAATAAATAATTATGAAAAAACATACATATCCATATTCAAAAAAAGCTAATGCTTTTCTAGGGTCACCTTCATAGAATCGATTAATTAACTTCTTGCCTTTGAGGTGCACTTTGATGAAATCTTATTTGCTCTTGATGGAGTACACCCCAAGGGCTTAATTTCGGAGTTTAATAATGCAATATCATCGATCATGCAACAGAAGTCGGGACTTTTACTATCTACTACTTTTCGATTAAGCCCTAAAACGTATGGTTTAAACTCATTACCAAAAAATGTTTTTATAAACGGATCTACAGATATACATCGGTGCATGTCTTCGGTTACGTTTTTCTTTGATGATGTTGGGAGTTCGTCCTTCCTAAAACATGAAAAGTAAAAGTTTAATAAATCACTACTTAGTTTCAACTGCTTTTTGTAATAAAAATAGTTACATATTGTTAAAAATTCGGATCGCCTTCTCCCACAATTCATCAGATTCGATTCCATTCAATGTAAATTTGGAATTTAAACCTAGTGAAAAGTTATGAGTTGCTTCATATAAAGAGGTAGTGAGTGAACTTGTTGATATAGGTTTTGTAACCCTATAAGGATTTGAATCAAGAACTTTTATACATTCGGAGGTAGTAAAGGTTGGGTAAGGGCAGGGCCAACACATCATTATTGATGAAAGTGCTCTAAAATGTAATATGGAAATGAATTCAGTATATTTTATGAATACGAGAATACTAAATATCTAAAAACACATACAGTATTTCAAACGTATCTCTCCATGTCAGTTTTTTTCTCTTCTCCTTAATACTTAATAACAATTGCTTTTGATAAAGCCTAAAATTTCTTGATACTTCGACCGTGTTTACCGTCCACTGATTACAAAAAACAAATATTCAAAACTTGTATACAATAACCAAAAATTAAAAGTTCAGTTGCTATTATATACCTCATTTACTGGTGAGGAAAATAATTCCTCTTCTAGATCATCCCACCCGAATTTTATTTCTTAATTAAGATCAACATCGTCAGAAATATTGTTTTCCTGGTGTTATCAATTAACGAAAGCAAAACAATTTAGTAAGGTTTTTCAAATACGCATATTGTTGGTGAAATACTTACACTTGGTTCATCCAATTTGTTAATCGAAATTTTATCATCAGAATCTGTAGAGTCTTTAAGCTATATCACAATGTATGCAAAATATCAGTTACGTTATATGATGATTTATAAAAACCTGTGACTGGGCTCACTTTTTTGGTATCACAAGAATAAAATATATTTTGGCATTTATTTTGTTTTTTTATCAAACTTAGGTAAAGTCCTTCCCCAAAAGTTGTCAATGCGTCCATTTTTCTTAGATTCACTCTTGAATGAATAAAAAAAATACAGATTAGTGTATCGAGCCTATCCAAGATTGGAATTGGCATGTACAAATGGCTATAGCGGAGACGCAATCCATAACCATGCGAAGACGCAGTTCCTTGGGTAGCTATAGCCAACAGCAGAGACGCGGTCGATAACCATGCGAAGACGCAGTTCCATGGGTAGCTACTAATGGCTAAATGTAATCTACTAATTTGCAGTTATATAACTTATAAACGTACTAACCTTGAATTGCTTTTCGAGACGCATCGCATTTACGATTTCCGCTGCTGTACCATTTTCTTTTATACCTTGTATATGTTTGAAAAAACTTCTCATTACAGTCGCCTTATCTAAACCAAAATTGTCATTTTTCAATGTTTTAAAGTAACGAATCGCATCCCATTCTTGACATTGGTGTGTTCAAGAAATACTCGAAGCAAGGCCCAGGTTCAATGATGTCGGATAGCATGATTTCGTTTCGCAAAAAAAAAAAAAATAGATTGTCGCATGATCAATTTATGCATAACGTGTAACAATAAGTCAGAGTAGTACAACGTTTGAAATTTTATTGATAATATTTAACTCTACATTACAAATGCGATCCGGAGGATAGAATCGTGGAGTAGGAACAGAGAGGGAGGAATAAAGCATGAAAATTTATGCCAGCTGGATCCTAGGCCCTTTACATTGTAAAGAAATTGCTGTTCCTTTCCCTATCCCACACTAGCTATCATTATCATTATTTTTTCACCAAAGGCGAATTTGCAATTGTTTCACAAACCTCCACTTCGGGCTTCACTTTTCCATTCCGCCTCTGTGGTATTTTTATAATTTCATTATTGAGGGCTAAAATAGCTTGTTTGAGTTTTTGCGTAACTGGATCGATCGTGATAGGAATTGGAGTTGAGGCCGGGACTGGGGATGCGTTTTTTTCGAATGAATATATAATTCGCGGATTGCGATTGCAGCAATGAAAATTGATAATAAAAAAATATCAGATATGTCATATGCCATTTTGCAGATAATTGTTTTGCAATTGGTAATTTGATTTGTTTGTTTGTTTGATTTATTGCATGATTATTTAATGATTGCTTTGATCTCTTACATATATCCCTCGATTTCGGTCTGTTTTTATATGTCAAAACTCAACATCAGCAATATATAACATTGGTTCTTTAATTTTCATACTAATTCAAACTAATAAATTGCCAGCAGCCACAAAATATGACGACTTCATACAAATATTGCGCATTGGATGATCCCTCACCATAAAATTGTTTCTGTATATTGCCGATAATTAGCAATTCCTTATATGTATTGTGGTGGCATGAAAATGTTTGCAGCCATTGAGGGTGGCGAGCAGAGGTGGCAGTAGTACTAAGATAAGTCGTGTACTACAGTTTGGGTGAAGTACAGAGGTGGCTATTTATTCACCCTCGTACAATACCTCCAAAAGAAAATGTGTTATGGGTGGCAACTGAAGGTAAAGATGAATAAAAGAAAGATATATAAAGAAGTAGTGATCGTGCGGCCGCAGATGGGACCTTCAGGAGTGAAAAACAAAGAATTTTTCCTTTTATTATCATAGCATATTTTTTTATATAATAATAATGATTTTATCATAATATCTGCTTATAACATTAATAATAGTAATAATTTTGTAGTGTTTCGAATTAATATTAGTAATAATTTTCATAATATTAGTATAGAAGATTACAGTCGGGGGTATTTCAAAATTTGCAGATCATTTCTAGAATGATCGACGAACCTATATCGAAATGTGATTGGCGTTTGATAATTTTTTGATCCCTGATAGTAAAGTCGAGGGTTAACTATCAAATATATATTTTTAAATACATAGTTTCAGAATTCGTGAGGATCCCCAAGATCCAGTATATTAGTTTTCTTTCAAATTAAATTTACAAATTTATATATCATCAGCTATGAATTCAAAATTAGAAGCGAAAAATTTACCCTGCATATTCGCTTCTTTTGCCAAAGGTTATCCTGAAAGTGAGTTAATAAAACGTATAGTGGAATGTAAGACCGAAGAGAAACAAAAATGGTGAAATGCATCAGCTCACGCAGTAGTAGAGAGACTAACAGAAATGGTTAAGTATTTCTTCAAATTAACTTCACTTTTTGATTCTTTAGAACATTATTCTTTATGCGAATAGTACTACAATCAAATTGTTGTTAAAACCTCTTTTATTAATCAATTAAAAAAATAGATGAACCAGTTTTAGTAGATTTAGAAGGATCTGGGAGAAAAAGATTAAAGTTCTCTAGTATCAATAATGTCGATATTAGTGTTTAAGTTAATTTACCAGAAAAAACTTTCATTGATTTTGGATCCCAAGTATCTTTTCTGGATCTAGCATATGAAATACTTTTGAAAAGAATCGAGAAATTAGAAAATCTTAATCAGTATTTATTATCTGAAAACGAAGTATTAAAAAAAAGATTAAGATTTTCTGACTAACAAGATCACATTGAGTCAGTAATCGAAATCGTTAAAAAGGAATGAAATAGCTTATACGAGAATATAGTGAATTTAATAAAAAATTGTGAATGATTCAGTTTAGATAGTCTTTTAGAGTATTCTCCTTATAAATAACTTGCTGAACGAAATTCAGTCATAGTAAAGTTTATAGAAACTCTCACTGATAATGAAAATCAACATTAACCTGAGGAAGAAAAACTTTTTAAACATATAGTAACGATTGATGCTATATATGAATCAAGGCACTTGAAATATGTATCTGTTATTAATTTGACTACTTCAGCAATTAAATATTTATTGGCAAGATCGAAAATGATTGTTGATATTGATAATCATATCACTAGTTTCAGCTGCTATAAAACATTTATTAATTGGTTGGAAAGTTTAGCTACAGAATAACCACTTCTTCCCAAAGGTCTTTTATTTTTGACTTTTGATAATGAGCAAAAAGGTCAAAAAAATTATTTAGATCGTGGATATAATACTGTTGTATTCCATACAGTTACTAGTTTTGTCACTTTTAATTATGATCAAAGTAATAATGTACAAGATACAGATCCTTGGTTACATTTTGAACCTAGTAAAAAACAATATGAAGAATTGTTTAATTTAACTTCAGGTATGGAGAATGAAATTCACAAAGAACTTACTAATTATCTTTCTTCTATTTTAGAGGAGCTTCGTATTAAGAAAAATCAAGAAAAAAATATGATTGATGAATTAGTACATTGTCAAAGCCAGACAGGATATATGAAAAAATACACAGTTTGTCAAACTTCTAATATCGATAACAAGAAACGAGTCTGCCTGACCTGCCATAATAAGTTACTAACAATTTCTGAAATAAATCAGCAATTTGATGAACCATCCTATAACGTGAATATAGTCAAAAAATCTATAGATATTCATCCTTACATGTTTGAAGATGCACGATTAGTTGAGGAAAATGAGGTTTATAGCATCAGGAAATTTAATTAGGCGTCGATTTACGGAAATATCACATGACCTCCGGAAATTTCCGTTTGAAAAATTTGATTTTTAACTTTGGCCGAGATTTAGGCGACAGGAAGCGATTTTCTACTAAGATGTTTCTAAGATAGATCGAAAGCCCTGGTTTTTGGCTACAAGATGATATGTGTTTCATTATTATAGCATCGATATTCGCGGAGAAATTCACGTTTAAATTCAAAGCATCCGTGAAAATTTATACCATAATTTTTCCGTAAATTTTCACGGATGCTTTGAATTTAAACGTGAATCTCTCCGCGAATATCGATGCTATAATAATGAAACACATATCATCTTGTAGCCAAAAACAAGGGCTTTCGATATATCTTAGAAATATCTTAGTAGAAAATCGCTCCCTGTCGCCTAAATCTCGACCGAAGTTAAAAAATCAAATTTTTCAGGCGTAAATTTCTGGAGGTCATGTGATATTTCCGTAAATCTGCGCGTAATTGAATTTCCTGATGTACAGTATGAAGATATATAAATATAGAGAGTGTATTAATCGAAAAATGTTTGAACTCTCATAATTAATAACTTTATAATATGTGTCTATATCTAAATTGAGATGTGTTTAATATATATTATTTCAATTTTAACAGTTCTATATCCTGCCCTTTATGTAATAAAAACCATAAAAAAGAAAATATAAGAAATTATATAGAGGGCATTTGGGGTAGTGGTGAATATTATGGCGAAAAAAACTTATCGTCTATTTGTAATACATAATTGGTTCATCATATAACAAATTAGGTATTTTTCCATGTGATATGCAAACCATTCCCTTAGGGAACAATCAAAATTCTGAATTGTCACTTGTCACAAAAACCGTTCCCTTGGGAAAATAATCGAATTCATTTAATTTCAACAGAGTCCAGAGTCAGATTTTCCAAAAACTGAAGTGTCTGAATTGGATCAAGATAATGAGATTAATAAAAATCAAATCGTAGAACAGGGATTAATAAAAGAAATAAATTTATCTACTGAGAGACAAAAACCGTTCTCTCAGGGAATGATCAGACTAATACATCCGAGATAAGTGAATTGACTATAACTTCTATTCCTTCGATTCATTCTTCAGATCCTGACGATTTGTTACAAACTGAGTTAAGAAAACCGATCATATCTCAATCCAATAAGCTTTCGCCAGAAATCCAGATAAGTATATTTACTGAAACCGATTCTACTAAGTCAAAAAAATTTCCAGAAACCTCGGTAAGTATCTTGACCCTTTAGGTTTTAATTTTCCTAAATGTGATGATGATGATGATGACGTGGGATATTACTATGATTTAAGTAGTGAAAAGAAAACTGATAAAAAAAATCGACCCATCATCTGTAGAGCATTTGTATAATATACTTAGCTCCTATTAATATCAATGATCTGAGAATCTTATATAATTATGAACGCACGAAGTTCATTTTTTGATCGAGATGACAATGTATAGTCACGGTTAAGAGTTAAAATCCAGTTATTTGAATTTATGGTATTAATAAAACAGAGTACTCATGCTCAAACATAAAACGAATATTTAAATGGTCCAAAGTTTTACTCTATTGACTATACAATAATAATAACACTGTTACATATATGTGGACTTTTTGTCAATAAAAACAAGAGATCATAATAACGGCTATCTCTGAATAACAGAATAACTGAGCTCGTCCGCTCCTTCGATGGATTGTTGTTTTTGGTTTTTAAATGCACAGACCTCAGTTCCATTTCGAGACAAAGAATATTGGCCAACCCAAGACATTAAAAAACATGAAGTATTACCACTTGATAATTGAGGTACGTTATAATTATGAAGCGATTCTCTTAGAGTAATGCCTCTTGGAATTGGAATGTCGTTATTTTGGTTATTTACGAAATACATTCTTACGATGTGGGGGTCAAACTTCTCGATCCTCATATGGACGTTGTCGTCGAAGGTAATAACATTAATATTGTCATTTTTATATGAGATGAAACCCCGAAATTTCATGGTCGAAGAGGAATCTGTATTCATTTTGCAATAATAAAATAGATTTAATTTTACCAAGATTAAACGCGAAGGATTAACCGTTCGTTTTGAATTTCTGTTAAAAAATTAGTTCGACAGTCTCCGTTGAGTGAATACAATTTGAGAGAAAACGCACATATCAATCAACCAACTGCTTACCTTTATTAAGTTGTGGGAAGGCGACATGAAGTAAATAATATTTACTCAATTTTTATTGTCATCTCAAATCATGTGACTTATTCATCGTATTACCTTGCTTATCGATTTTTTCAAAAATGATACAAAAATGATATAATGAATTATAACTTTATTAATAGCAGAAATAATATTTAATGCTACATTACAAATGTAAAAGGCCAGCCTGTAAAATTATTTGTGGAGTAGAGGACAAAGAGGGAAGAATAAAGTATAAATGCCCGTCGGATCCTAGGCCTTTTACAAAGTAAAAATGACAGTTCCTTTCTCTACCCCATATTGTCTAACCATCTATATTTCATTAACTGTACTAGCTTTACAATCACTACTTCTATTATAAATATTTTTTACTGTAGATTGTTTAATATTCCCTTCAAGTTCACGAATACGCACTGCTATAGAAAAACACATTTCATCAAAGGTATATTTTTTTTCAGCCATGACCCTATTGAAGATTTCTTTAAAGTGGGAGCAAAATGTTGAAGTAATATTCATGTATTGAATTCATTCAGATCCTACAATCAAGAATATAATTGGTAATTTTTTCTTGTTATAAATTGCATGCATCTTGATCCAATCTCTACCTGAGGAATTTGAAGATGAATAAGTAGAAAATGAAAAATAGGTGGAGGATCATAATGCTTCACTTTGTTAATCAGACCCCCTCCTATTCGTGTTCTGGGTAAGTGCATAGTATTGATTAATTTTACTTTGGATCATCGTGATGGTTCTGCTAATCATTTCGAATTCAGTAGCAATTTAACTAAAATTATTATGGTAGGTTTCCAGAACTCACTCGACTTCATTATATTTTCCAGTGAGATTATTAATTGTAAAAATAATATTCTGCACCTCTGTTACATAGTTAGCATCATGAGAATTAATTTCAGCTTTGATTTTACCAATTTCTGTGGTAATATTGGTGAACTTTTGTATAGTGTGATACAAAAATAAACATGTGATAACACCTCATACACAGAGGAACATGCTTGAAAAATATCATTATAAGAAAGAAAAAAAAGAAGTATTTAATGTCATAAAAGGCATATTTTCTGAAATGTTGAATGAATGCATCTGAACGAGAAAAAAAAATCTGATTAGAATATGTATCTTTGACACTAGCTCCATTATTAATCATAAGGTGTACAGGTATTTAATCTATACTTGCACACAAAATTATTTTAGGACCCAAAACCTGAAATATAAATATCCTGAAAATGACCTCAAAATATCATTTCAAAATTTTGATATTTCAAAATTAAAATGGAAGTTGAAATTAAAATAAAGTCGAAATTAAAATAAAAGTCGAAATTAAAAATGGGAGTCGAAATTAAAAATAAAAGTCAAAATTAAAATAGAAGTCAAAAATTAAAATTAAATTATTAGAAAAAATTTTGAAATAGATATTTTCAAAAGTTATATAAAATTTTAAAAATTTTTATTAAAAAATCTGATTTTTTTTTAAAAAAAAAAGAATATTAATATATACTACAAGTTTATAATTACAATTCTAAAGCAAGGGTAAGTACCTATACTATTTCGCAAACCTAAAAGCATAATTCTGAAGAAAGGTAAATTAAAAAGAGGTAGAAAGGTAAGTAAATATATTTATTAAAAAATAATAATAATAAAAAGAAAGAAAAAACCTATCTACACTATTTCATGAGCCTAAGAACACAATTCTGAGGAAAGGTAAGTTAAGAAGAGGTAGAAAGGTAAGTTAAGAGGTAGAAAAGTAAGTGAATTTATTTTATTAAAAAAAATAATAATAATAAAAAAAGAAAAAGCTTACTCACGCCATTTCACAGTCACCTACACCATTTCGCAAGCCCAAGAGTACAATTTCAAGGAAAGATAAGTTAAAAAGAGGTAGAAAGGTAAGTTAAAAAGAAATAGAAAGGTAAATTAAGAGGTAGAAAGGTAAGTGAATTTATTTTATTTAAAAAAAAATAATAATAAAGAAAAAAAAAATTTACTCATGCCATTTCGCGATCGCCTGTACTATTTCACAAGTTCAAGAGTACAATTCAGAAGAAAGGTAAGTTAAGAAGAGGTAGAAAAGGTAAGTAAATATATTTATTAAAAAAATAATAAATAAAAAGAAATAAAAAACCTACCTATGCCATTTTGCAAACCCAAGAGCACAATCCTGAGAAAAGGTAAGTTAAGAAGAGGTAGAAAGGTAAGTTAAGGAGAGGTAAAAGGGTAAATTAAGAGGTAGTAAATTATTTTATTAAAAAATAATAATAAAGAAAAAAAAAATCTGCACCATTTCACGATCGCCCTAAAATTTTAAGATTTCACAACTATTTCATCCCCCGTCAAAATACTAATTTCAACTGGAGTTACACTAAATTTTGTCCCCGTAATAATTTTGACCCCCGTAAATATTTTCATCTTTTATAATAATTTCGGGGTCAATTTTGAATTTCGGAATTCAATTTCGAAGTCATTTTAAATTAACCGGGATTGAATTTTGGATTTTTAATTTTGGGGGCATGTATAATCTATATATTTCTCTTGACTTACAGAGGTCTGGATTACTTTTTCTAACTGATTTTTAATATCAGATATTTGTTGATGCAATGGGGCTAATTCATCATCACGAATCAATATCTCCTTCTCAAGATATTTGATGTAATCTTCTTTTAAAACTAAATCTTGTTGCAACTTCCAAAATTGATTTTTTATTGCTAATAAACTATTTTCGAATTGCTTAATTCTTGATGTCATCGTTAGAATTTTCTATACTATAAATAAAATGAGTAATCCTAGTATTGTTATAGATCCTTTTGAATCTCGAAAATTTGATATATCTATTGATTTATAAAAAATCTATTATCATCCTTCTAGCTATCAAAGGACTAGTAAAAAATTTTATGAAGTTTCACATAATGCCGAATTCGATTTTACATTGGCCAAAGTTCAAGAATGGCTTGAGAGACAAGCTTTACATCAAATTCATATGTCTCATCCTAAATCTCGATTTATTCCTTGCGTTAGTTTCAGTAATATTACTGTTCCATTTCATATTATTCAAGGTGACACTTGTTATATGTCTCATCATCAAGTTAAAAATTAAATTTATAAATATATCCTTAATTGTATTGATATTGCTACTTGTACTGGATTTATATATCCTTTAATATCTCAAGATTCTACTAGTGTTATAAAAGTATTAGAAAAACTTTTTAAGTCTCGTTACTGCCCTAAAATATTTATAGTAGATAAAGGTACAGAATTTCGTGATGAAGTTATTTTCTTAGCTAATAAGTATAATGTAAAAATTTATATTACTAGAAATAAAAAAAGTATAGGTATTGTTGAAAGATTTAATCGATCTTTTGAGAAATATATTTATCTCATTCAAGATGCTATTAAAATGAGATTACCTCCTGGTGAATGTTGTTGAGACTGAATTAATAATGCTCCTATTTTTCTTAAACAATATGGTAATTCTGTTAACCGCATGATTAGGATGTCCCCCGTTGAAACTTGAAAAAAGAAACATGTTTATAGGTTAGCTTCTAAACCTAGAAAAAGTCCTATAGGATTTGATAAAGAAAAAATACCTTTTTATGTTTCTGTAAGGTATTTACTTAAGTCAGGTGAGTTAGAAGGTGGAAGAAGACGTGCTATTGACATGAATTGGTCTTCTCAAATTTATCACATTAAAGAAAGATTAGTATAAAAAAATCAACTGATCCTTTATTGGATTATAGATAATAATGAATATAGTCCTGAAAGATCTTTTGTTCGTGAACAATTATTAGTTATTCCACATAATACTGAATTACCTTCTCAATGAGTATTGCAGAGTAAGCCCGAAAGGGGATCCAAGGATTATAGTTTTTCAAACTTACTCAAGAATTGAGCCATACTTGAAGTTCTTCTTTTCTTTCCTCTTCTGTAATAAAATATTTTTTAGCGATTTTGTGAATTAATTTGAGATAGTTTAAAATAGCTTGTCTAATTTTCGGTTTACTTTTGTAATAAGAATTGTTGAATGATTTTATTTTTACATCATATATCTCTTCATTGGGAAGAAGTGATCTAGCTTTGATTATAATATATTGCTTTTGATCTTCTGATTTGCGCAATTTATCAAGGTGGTTTTTATAATAAACCATAAAACCTATATTCCTATCCTTATTATAAAAGTTACCTGCTTTTAATATATCAATTATTAATTTTTCGATATCTTGTCATGTTGGGAGACAGATTTCAGTCTCGGTAAATACTTGATTAATATTTTGAATAGTAGTTGACATTTGAATATGTGTTATGTTTGATAAATATAAAGTAATAAAAGTTTTATAATATACTTATAAAAAAATTTTTGTTTAAATTATATTTTTAGCTTATATAAAAATACCTACTATGTATACTTGTGAATATCTTAAACCATCTGGTAAAGTTTGTGGACGTACATCTATGAATCCATATAGGTGTTGTTATCATAAAAAATTAAAAAATAGAGTATCGTGTTTAGAATGTAGTAAGGGTATATTATCATTAAGTGGATGATGTCCTGATCACATTAGAAATTTTTATGTTGATAGGCATTATCAAAAATATCATAAGAAAAAGTGATATATTAATTTGGTACCTTTATCCAATATAACGTAAATTTTTTAGTACCATTGTTATATATTAATTTGGTACCTTTATCCAATATAACGTAAATTTTTTAGTACCATTGTTATATATTCTAGTTATAAAATCTGACTTAACTTTTTTAGTACACGAATTTTAG